ATGAAATAAAAAATAAGAGATATTGAAGGACAAAAGGAAAGAGTTGTTAGAAACCAAATGAAATCCAAACATAGTTTGGAGAACAAAATTATTTAAATCTCAAAATTATTGGAAAATAAATGCTGAGGAGTTGAGAGGTGTGAGAGGAAATTAAGAAAATGTTTAGGCTCTGTAGAATCTCTAAAAAGTTAAAAACAAAAGGCACTTTAATAGATCTTACATATTTTCATATAAATATATATCTTGGGTCTCAAGATGAAAAAGATAGAAGTGATTATATTAGGTACAGGATTTTAATAGAAATTATATCTGCTATGTTACGAATTCTGCTAAAGTGTGCAGGCCATATAGTGCTACATAAGACTATATCAAGAAGTCTTTACATGACAAGGAACTTTCGATTGTCTCTATTGCTACAAGGTGTCGTTTGATTGAAAACTATTGAACCCGTTTGGTTATGCTTTTGTTATTGTAGCTAGTTCGTGCGTGCTATGCAGAGCGAATAGACCTTTCTGCCCATGGATTTTATATTACGCCTGATATTGGTTTTGATTGGGTGACGGCTAAAGGAAAGCCTTTTAGATATTTCACTTACGGGGCTGCATTTGCTGAGGTTGAAATTGACACCTTGACCGGAGATTTCCACACGAGAATGGCAAACGTATTTCTGGATCTAGGTTATTCTCTGAATCCAGCAATAGATGTTGGACAGGTACTTTTTTTTATAATTGTTTATTGTTAATTTTTGAATATACAAGGTTAAGGATGGAAAACTAGCACAGCAGAGACGACAAAAATTCCTCTAAACGGAAATCAGAAAACTTGATAGAAAATATCTTAAGTCAGTTTCCTGATATTTTACAATGCTAAATAGAATTTGGCTTTAGTAAATAAGTTAAATATCTTTAAGCATGTTTTAAAACGAAATGCTTGTGTTCACTTTTTGGGTTGATCAGAGAAAGTACAATATATTGTTTGATTGTAGTGAAATAACTTTGGGTTAATATGCAATGGTTTCATTTTATGAGAATTATGAAAATTTTCAAAAACTGTTTTTCGAGTAGTCTTTATTGCAGGATGTTTGGTTCTGGTTTCTTTGTACCAAGACGCTTTTGGGAAAATGCTGAAAGTTATCTTCTTTTCGTGTGTAGAAGATTAAACACTCTAAGATTCCTTTGAATTACAAGTTTCTCCCTATTTTTGAATTGTTATATTTTTTTATGATAATTTCATATTTTGTTCTTGCTATTTATTTTCACAGATCGAGGGAGCTTTTGTTCAAGGTTTGGGTTGGGTAGCTTTAGAAGAACTTAAATGGGGAGATGCAGCACATAAATGGATCCCGCCTGGATACCTTTACACAACTGGACCTGGAGCTTATAAAATTCCTTCTGTGAATGATGTTCCCTTCAAATTTAACGTCTCACTTCTGAAGGTATAATCCTGAACCCTGAACAATTATTCTTTTTGTCTTTTCTTGAGGTAAGTGGATTATTCACCTTGAAATGCTTTCAATGTGCTTACATTTTCCAGTGGCACATCTCAGAGATACCGAGGATATTTGTAAAGATGAAAAATGAACAAAGATAATCATTTAATTAACAAAAAGTACTGGCCCAATTCTGGTATTAGGGAAGAATAGATCTATTAATAGATTTGACGCTGTTCATAAAAAAAATCATGTGTTACATTACATGCCTTTAGGAAGAGGGGAAAAAAAGGAGTTGATTTATGTAGTGGGAGTTTGAGATATAATGGAGAGAAATAAAGAGGATAAGTGGAAATAGATGAAAAAGAGAGTGAAAGATTAATTTATTTCATCTATCCCTCTCTTTTTTTTATTTCTCACCTACCAAACAGAATAAAAACATTATAGGAAAGAAAATGAGAAAAAATGAAATAGTTTTTATCTATTAGCTAAAATTGACATGCATAAGTTGGTTTGGAGAAGTTCTTTCACATTAGTTCCCATATAAGTTGATTCGGAAGAAAGTATTTTAACTTACGAAAAGCTTGCTTATTTTTTTGGCATTTTCTTCTCATGCAAAATATTCTTACAATAATTTATCCTAACAAATCCATTGATATTGTGGTAATTGATGATAATAAATTTTCTTTCTTCTGCTAACTGAATATAATTCCCACAAGCTGATTTAAATATGTTGAAATTTATGCCTAAAATCGTGAGAGCTGTGTTGTTATTTTCTTTTGGTATTTATTTACAGAAACACATTGCTACATTTTATCTTTAGCCTCTTAATTTCTCAAAAATTGTTTTCATACTTCCTTTACTCCATTCACCACTTCTGCACGCTCTCAGATGACCACAAAGATTAAAATACTGATGTGTTACATAGCGTTTGAATCGTAGTATCAGTCATATATAATCACAATTTAATAGAGATGTTGAATGCTTTCCACATGACATAAAGCCATTTATCGGTGATTAACTTGGCTGTTTAGCACAATAATCACAAATTGAAGATATCAACATGATAACTTACCTTGTTTTTGATTGGTAGGGTCATCCAAATGTCAAGGCCGTCCATTCTTCCAAAGCTGTTGGTGAGCCTCCATTTTTCCTAGCATCTTCTGTGTTATTTGCCATCAAAGATGCCATCATAGCTGCCAGAGCCGAAATGGGGTGTTATGAATGGTTTCCTCTTGACAGTCCAGCAACTCCTGAGAGAATTCGGATGGCTTGTTTAGATGAATTAACAACGTCCTTTGTTACCTCCGATTTCCACCCAAAACTTAGTGTCTGATCATAGAAAAATCAGGATGTCATAATGAATGTTTCACATATAAAAAACCCAGAAAATACGATGCAGCAATTCACCATAAAAACATTGGCAACTTACTGGCTCTATCTTATCTCTACCTTGCCTGTATTTTTTTAAAGAACTTCTTAATATTATGATAAAGAATCTAATAAAAAAAATAAGAAAATATATTTATTAGGAGAAAATAATATATCTATAAAAAATATTAATTTTTAAAGTAATTTTTTTAATAGTTCTAATGTAATTAATAAAAAAGTTAAAACTATTGATTGCTTTAGAATGGATATTTTGTAAAATGTAAATATATATATGTAACATGATTTTTGAATTCTAATCATAAATAAAATATGTGATTTATGCTTATTCATAATAGTGTTCTTTTGTTATACGTCTGGTGCATATATCGGTTCCTTAACGAAGATATAGTTTTTTATATTAATTAACAGCCTTAATTAACGTTTATCCTATTGACTTGAAAGTTAATTCCACATTTTTGTCTTAGTAGTCTAAGGCTGAAAACTACAGTTACTTTTATATCAAGTATTTCCACAATTATCATCAAATCAATTACTTTTTAAGTTTAAGGCAAAATTAAAAGGAGTTTAAATGTGGATTACTTTTTAAGTTATTCTGAAATTTGTATAAAAAAATTATTCTGAAAATTTTATAAGTTAAAATGCTTTGGGTATTTTCATACACCAATAATAACTATAATCGACTATAAAAAAACATACATTATGATATAATCAATAAATAAGGGAGACCCACCTTTCTATTTGGTAATATAAAAGCATTAATAATTTGATCTCACTAGTAAAAGAAGGAACCATACAAAACAGGATTTAGAAAAAATATGGTCCCACCACATTTGTTAATGCTATTGATTTTATTTAATTCACGGTAATGGCATAGACAAAATTGGATATATGTCCGTTTATACTTTGTGATCACTGCAATTAGGAGGATGAATTAGACGGAAATGGTATTACTGAGATAATTTTGAAAATTCACAAAATAAATTAAGCTTTTTATTAATGAAGAGAAAAATCGAACTGTTAAATATAAAATATAAGTTTTTTATACTTGATACATGATGAGAGCTAGAGATTCTTTTGCACAACAAATTAATCTGTTGCTCCAGTAGAACAGTTCATTGTCAGCATAAAATTGGTTAGTATGCAGAGGGATATTTTGACATCTGCTAATGAAAAAAACACTTAATAATTAATAATATACTAATGTTTTAACTATATTATTTTAAATTTTTAACTTAAAATATGAATATATTATAATATTATTCAAACGAGTTACAAAGTGAATAGTTTTCAATATCACTTTTGCCGCTAAGAATCACAGTCCTTCCTCGTATTTTGCGTTGCACTTACATTGTTTTGAAGAATTGAAGGTCGCTTCTCTCTCTCACACCCAAAGCCTCAGCCACTATACTTGAAGAAACATTGTAAGGTTCTAATTCCCGTGCCTCTTGTACAATTACAATGTTTAATTATCTATCATGCGTCATAATAGTTAATTAATTAATTGCTCAAGTTAAATGATTAACGTTTTAATTATCTTCGGAATATCCATCCTTCAGTTTCTCCCTTTCCAAATAGGGTTTAGGTTGCATTACATTATTGGTCCCAAGGAGGATATTTCTATTTGAGATGGCATGGTGATTTTCCATTTTGGAATATCTCGTTCAAACTTTTGCCCATGTTGTACTCAAGCATGATTACGCCATCGACTATTGTCTAAGTAGTGTGTGATTGATAAATTAGGAAGAATTTCAGTTGGGTTATGTGCCGTCTTAAATTCCAGAATAATTAACTTTTGGGTTGGTGTTCGTATGTTGATTATTCTGACTAATTAATTAACGTTCGAAAGAGACATGTCGAAAACCCTGTGCTTAATTTGAGTCAATGTCTCTTTATGAGTTTCAGTAGTGCATTATCTGAGTAAACATCAATATCTCATGGAGACAACATGTCTTTTTCTATTATTTATTATTATTATTATTATTATTTATATTTTCTTTCAGATCCCATCATTCTCAAAGATTCCACGTTTAAATCTAGAGACAAACAGCTAATGTTTCGACAAGAGATTACTACGAGGTTCATTTTAATATATCGAATAGAATCTTTTTATCGTAGGAGCAGGGCACGAACTACATTAAGATCATATCATAGAAACAAGGAAATGCCAAAATGGAAACTTAGCAACAAATTAATGTATATAATATCATATGATAAAATTTAAAATTAAGCAAACTTTTGAATTGACACTAACAAATGACTCAACAGGGCTACATTCATAACAAGGCTCTTCAGTGTAGACCCTGTAATATTGACGAAGTCTTAGTGGTAATCGCAGCAATATTTTGCATATATTTATTGAAACGATACAAGTTGATTTAGTTAACTTAATAGCCTGCTGCAGGAGGTGGTGGGGAGTTATAGAGGTAGGGAAGGTGATGTGGCGAGTACTTGTGGAGATGATGAGGAGGTTGAGGTGGAGACTTGTACACATATGGGGACCTATGGACATATGGTGGAGGCATGTGGGATGGAGATGGTGGTGACTCGTAGATATATGGTGGTGGAGGTGAAGGGGATGGAGGAGGTGGAGATTTATAGACATAAGGAGGTGGTGGTGATGGGGATGGTGGTGGCGGAGACTTGTAAACATATGGAGGAGGTGGTGAATGAGATGGTGGGGGAGGAGACTTATAAATATATGGAGGGGGTGGTGATGGAGATGGTGGTGGTGGGGACTTGTAGATGTAAGGAGGGGGAGGTGATGGAGAAGGTGGAGGAGGGGACTTGTACAAATATGGTCGAGGGGGTAAGGGGGATGGAGGTGGTGGAGACTTGTATACATAAGGAGGGGGAGGTGATGGAGATGGTGGAGGAGGAGACTTATATACATATGGGGGAGGAGGTGAGGGGGATGGAGGTGGTGGAGACTTGTAGATATAAGGAGGGGGAGATTTGTAGACATATGGAGGAGACTTGTAAATATATGGTGGAGGAGGTGAGGGGGATGGAGGTGGTGGAGACTTGTAGACATAAGGAGGGGGAGGTGATGGAGATGGTGGAGGAGGAGACTTGTAAATATATGGTGGAGGAGGTGAGGGGGATGGAGGTGGTGGAGACTTGTAGACATAAGGAGGTGGAGGTGATGGAGACGGTGGAGGAGGAGACTTGTACACATATGGTGGAGGAGGTGAGGGGGATGGAGGTGGTGGAGACTTATAAACATAAGGAGGGGGTGGTGATGGGGATGGAGGTGGAGGAGATTTATACACGTATGGAGGGGGTGGTGAAGGAGATGGAGGTGGAGGAGACTTATAAACATATGGTGGGGGTGGTGATGGGGATGGTGGTGGAGGAGACTTGTAGATGTATGGAGGTGGGGGTGAAGGAGAGGGAGGTGGGGGTGACTTATAGACATAAGGTGAAGGTGGAGATTTGTGTGCATGTGGAGGTTTTTTGTGATGGTGGGGTGGGTGTTTTGCATGCTGTGGTGGAGAGTAGTAGGTTGGCTGGGATGCATAGTAAGGCTTATAATCATCTCCAGCGACAGTGATAGCAATTAGACAAAATGCCAATCCATAGATGAGTCGAGGCCAGTGCCTCGGCCCTGCTGATGTTCTCATCTTCTGTCAGTGTGCAGCACCAGTCGCTGTTTAGATGAGCTATGCTCTATGCTTGCATTTGCAGAGTATGCTCGAAACCCTTTATATAGTGTTAACTCTCAGTTATGGCTGATACTGTTTATTTGTTAAAATGCATTGACAGACTGGTTGAGGATTTAATATACATGCTGCACATTCCCCTTTTTGTTCAAATCATTATTCGGAGTTGAAGTTGCGGGCCTCCATTATGTGAATTCATATTTCTTACGATATGGATTAGCAACAAAGTCAAGAAAGAAGGTTCGCAATGGCATGGTTGGACGTAAGAACTAGTTGAAATGGATCAAATTTTGACAATGCGTGTTAAAGCAGCCAGCTATTATTATTTCCATTAAACTTTACAGAACCAGTGATTATATTGGAGCAAGCCAGAAGTACCAAACATCATATTGAAGTCAAATGTCAGGGTGTCGGTCAAAACAAAAACCTACCAGACATCCCTATCAATAGGCAAACTTACATTCTCAAGTCATGACAATGACTACAATTAAAATTATCCCCATGATAATGTGACGTTATAATATAATTTTATCTTGGTATGATTACTGTAGACCATTTTACTGTTTTTCTCATCCGTACAAAATATTGCCTTATGAACCTTTGATCAGTTACCCCATTTTACTAGGTTTTCATGTTTTAACTGTTGATGTAATATTATTGATACTTGACTAATGTTTGTTTTTCCACATTAACATTGAGCATCTAACTAACTAATGTTCTTAGCTGCATTTTGAGTGGTTTCCCTATTCGATTGTAATTTTCCATTACATTACTGGTCTAGTGCGAACTCTGCAGGTAGGACTCATTTTTCCTAGTGATTTCATTATACTTGCTATATGTACTGTTTTAGACATATTAGATAATGCTGCTACTGTTGTTACTCTGCCATCATCGTGTTGTTTTCAGAGGCATGTATTCTACATATAAGACGATCCATTGGTTGCATTTTGATAGTCATTTTAATTGTAGAGATAAACACAACTTGCTCCACTTATTACTCTTTCTGATTTATTATGTTCTTGACATGGTGCTAGATTTATTATGTTCTTGACATAGTTCTAATCTAACCTGGGTTCATAAATAATTGATGTTGACAGTGTCAACGTGTTGGTGTGGCCAGCTGTGGGAAAGGAATTATATTCACAATTTCGTGGGAAGCCATCAATAATCTTCCCTCCCCTCAGGTTCTCCTTAAACCTAATTTCTTTCCCTTAAATTTCATGAAAATAGATAATATCTTGTAAAATTCAACTTCTCTGATATATATAGTAAGAAGCAATTTTAACCATTCCATTTTGGGTTGAGGGGTAAGATTATTATTCTTTTTTATACTTCATTTCACTGGTATGCTTACTCCTTCAAGGAAAACAAAGAGTTGAGATTAATTTTCTATAAAATAATTTTAATATTATATTATATTATATAAATTATGTTTATATGGAGTTTACAAAGTTTAGCTTTTTGGGGAGATAATTTCGGCCATTCAATTTTATATGAATATTCAAGAATAATTTTTTAAAATCAATTTTAATCTAGATGTAGGTATATGCATTCTATGGGCACTTTAAGAAATTTTCTATCAATTTTTTTATTTTCTCCTATTCAATATGTTGAACATATTTTTATTAGGAAATTATAAAAAGTTTGGTCAATTAATTCCTGAATTCACAAATGTTATATCTTAATTTCAGGAATTGAAATGCAATTGTTTATGTAGTTAAATTGATCGATGCTCTTAATTTCATACATTAATTTAGTGTATTATTTTATTTTAAATTTGGTATATATTGGTTCTTGCTTATTCTTTTTTCGTTTTTTAAATTTGAGATATCCTTTAATAAAAAATTTGATTCGTAGTTAAGAGGTGGACTTATTTTAATATATGTTTTTTGTTCACATACATATATTTAAGAGCATGGTTGTCCTTCAACCCTGTTAGTTGGTTATTTTTATTCAACTAAAAACTTCAAATAAGAGTTTGAATCATAAAAATAATATGAGTTTGACCATTATAATAGTATTTAAAAACAATGAGATCAAACCATGTATCAGAATTATAACTCTTTAATTTTTGAATTTAATAAAAAAACCGCTGTATTGAATTTTTGATAAGTATTATTTAAAAAGTGAATGAATGTTGGTCATATATACAATAATTAGTTATTGAATAATGATGTAAAATTAAAACATATATCGCTTCTTCTTAACTTTTATGCGTAATGTAATTGACTTTATATTTAACTTTTACTCTTTAGGTAATTAAAAAATAACTTTTTCCTAAAGTATTTATTATATTATGATATTTATGGTGTAGTGATTTTTTTTAAGATTTGTTATTTCAATTTGTCAGCATTAGTTTTTACAAGTAAGAAGAAAATATAGTGTAGTACTTGAAGCTTTATTAATATTCATCAATAAAAAAAAAGTTTGTCTCTATAAGCACCAAATTTTAACAAGAAAGATCTGACATTAGATTATTAGTTATAAAAGTAAAAGGTAGAATGAAAGTCTGATCCGTGAGAGTTTGAATTTAGTTATAGGCCTTAAATAAATTAAAATTCTTTAAAATGATTTCGTTTTTTACTTTCATGCTTAATTGCATATAGATTCTTACTACACTTTATAATAAAAGGAATTTACTAAAATACAATTATATAAATGTAAGAATTTATTTGAAAATGATAATAAATTTGAAATAAAAATTAATTTCAAGTTTTATGTATTTATTAACTTTTAATAATTTAAAACGAAGGTAAAAAGATCGAAGTTAATTTTAAAGTTTATTTATTCATCAGCATTTGACAACTAAGTTGATAGAAAAATACAACTATATTACAAAGAAATCACAACTATAGTTTTTGCTAAGAAATAACAAAGAAAAAGTATTACTTATCTCAAAATTGGAGGGACAAAAATATTGTTGTTGTGTGTATCACGAAACCACGTTCTTGCATAAATTGATAGAAGATGGCGGTGTTATAAAAAACAAAAAGATATCAATAGCCCTTTCGTCAAATCATGGAATCCAGTATTAAATGTTGCGATAATTATAGAGCTATTTTTTTCTCAGAAAATTTTTATAATGATTTTTTAAACACAATTATTTATTTATATTTACAGAAAAAATACATTTATTAAGAATTTACTTTGTTATCATATCACAATAATCAATAGATATTATAACAATATATTTGAATTCATTATTTAATACAAGTATAAATGAAGGATACAAAAATACATGTGTAAAAAAGTTTTAAATTGGAAAGAAAATTGTTTAATTTTGTATATTTTAGTTTAGCAACACGAGTTTAAACCCTTTTTTATTTTCGTAATAAAAATTAGAGTAGATACTTTATAATTTATTGAATTTTTATGATGCCATCAAATTATTAATTGTCATGATTAGTCGTTGATTTTTCAATAAGTACTGAAAAGGTTATATGGATTATTATTGATTGAAAGAATAATTTGTTTTGCAGTAAGAGTATATGGAAATTAATCTCAAAATAATTGTCTAAAGACTGATATAACTTTTATATAAGATATGTGAAATTCATATACTAGACCGTGTTTACCAATTTTTAGTGAAAAAGAAAATAGAGTGGGTGCCGTGAAATGCGTTTATTTTTAATCCTACTTTTGAATTATTTTCATTCCCATACTTAACATAAAAATTAAGTAACACTAGTTTTTTATTTTAATAAATATAATATTTAACTTCACCATTGTCTCATTTTATTTATACTTTTATTTCAAGAAATAGAAAACAAAATTTAAAACAATTATTTTAAATAAATAAATAAGAGGTGCAAAAAGCAATTATCAGTTTGACATAATAGTTCTTTTGTCGGCCTCTGACCTCTGAAAAGCTATTTGCATCGATCTTTTTTGTAATTTTTTATGCACTTTTCAAAAACACCAGTTTTTTGTATTTTAACTTTAAAAATCATAACAATATCTTAGAAAATGGAATAATTCACATTTTTCTAAAATTTGAAAGAAAAATTATATACAAAATATAAGGAAAAAGTAAAAAAAAATTAAAATACTTTTCTCTACAGTGTGTACTGTAGTAATATATGATATAAAGATTATCTACCGATTACTAGATAATCGGGGTGATTCTAATTTTTGTGTGCACATGAATATAATAGTATTATATAATTTAATAGTAATATTGGTGAAAACGTGTGTAAACCTATCATACGCGCATTTATACTACATATAATATCTTGACTAGTTTAGGTTTCGGTACTCAAAACACATAGCAGGAGATGTTAATTCAAAATAAATAAAAAACTACTAAATTGGTGAAATTATTGCACATAATTCTGCCTTTATGATAAAAGCGTTATGCGTTTTGAATCCTCTCTGCGGCTTCCATTTCTTTGATCCTCTTAGCTGCCAACCATTTATGCAGTGGGCTGTCCTTATTTTGTGTCTAATGTGTTATGGATTTTATCATATAGGGAATCTATGTTTATATCAAGCTTTGTATTGTGAGTTATGATTTATGTTTTTAAGGCATATTTATAGTATTGCCCAAAGCTGAAGCATGGTTTCATGGTTTGTATGTGTTTGGCAAGTACTGTTATAGGGTATTTGAGTAGGAATATGTTAGTAAGGTGGTTTTGAAAAAATTACTATAAATACACTTAAATATTAATCAACCACGATTTTTTGGTAGGTTGTACTAGGAAAGATTGATCATTTTTCATTTTTGTAAATGAGAAAGGGTAACCCTGATACCTATATAATACATTATTTAATAGCTGATAAAAAAAAAAGGAGATATTTAGGCATAAGGAAAAACCGAATCATATACAGGTAGGGTGCTTCTATTCGCTCGCAGGTGACTATTTGTGTTTTGACACGTCCACCATCACCTCTCTGTAACACATAGGGCAAGCCTAAAAAACAACACAGAAAATAAGAGGCATTTCAGCATATGCGAAATTGAGCACTACAAGTATTTAACGAACTCGTTATTATAAATTAATGGGAATCAACAACTAACGTGAATCCTAAAAAATATGCA